TCAACATATAAGTTTGGTTGACATTTTGGTCAAAATAATGTCAACCAAAGTTATATGGTGCCATTCCAGGGGATAGGGTGGTCGTGAGGTGAGGGGGCAAGGTCAGGGCTCGGGGGTGGGGGTGGGGTCATTGAGGCCTTGAGGGGTATTATGAGAGGGAAGAACCATCAATTTTACGAACGGAAAACCGTAAGTGTCCTTATTTAACTAGTGTCACGATCTTACACCACTTGGAGTGGTTAAAGATTACAACTCATCTAACTGAATTTAACATACTCCACATTTGCTCTTTTATAAAAAGCACGGAATATACCCGTTAGTGTACCAAATCCGAGTACTCAATAACAAGCAATGGGCCAAGACTGTTACGGAACAAGCCGATCGATCATGAACCACAAGCAATGGCATGGCATCCATAGCATGCCAAACCCTTTGTGCATGCTTTATGTGCATACTACATTGTGTTACTTTCTATTGTTGGGGGATTTATAAGTTATTCTAGGAGATAAATAACGAACTTGTGTTCATAAAATATGACAGTAATATCTACATATAGGTCTTCTACAGTTTTTAAAATTGTTCTCTTTATTTATTTAGGAGATGCTTTGGATGAGGTAAAGAAGTCACTCAATGCATCTCCTGATCAACTTACAGATTGGTATGTGAATCTTGTTACACCATGCACGTGGTCCCAAGTCACATGTGATAGTAATAACAATGTCATCATCGTGTAAGTGACAATTTTACCCTTATGCCGGTATTTTTTTTAATAAAAACATGGTAGCTTGATGTTATGTCTTCCACCATACAATGATTGCCGCATGATGTACTTGGAAAATTGTCACTCTGTTTTGCAGGTCACTGTCTAACATGGGATTCAATGGCACATTATCTCCCACAATAGGAGCTTTGAAGAATCTCAACACACTGTATGATCCTGGAACAAAGCGTATCTATTTAATAATAGCCATATATGCTTAGTGCATTTGACATACCTCTAGAACTTGTGTAATTGCAATATCAAATTTTTTTGCGGCATTCTCAAACATGATGTGTTTTGCATCAGCATTATTTCCATTTGTTTCTGGTTTGATTGGTTATATATACATGGAATAATGTTATCTTCCATATATATTATATATATATATATATATATATATATATATATATATATGTATGTATGTATGTATGTATGTATGTATGTATGTATGTATGTGTGTATATATATCTATGTGTGTGTGTGTGTATAAATATATGTATGTATATGTATATGACATCATATACTTATCATGTAGATCATTGCAAGGAAATAGAATTACTGGTAGAATTCCGGACGAACTTCAAAATTTGACAAGCTTGACAATGTTGGACCTAGGATCCAATCAATTTTCCGGAGAAATACCACCTTCACTTGGAAAACTCAAGAGGCTTCAGTCCTTGTAAGCTTTCACTTTTTGTTTTTGTTGTTTGTCGTGTGAATGCTTAATTGTGTTTCCCCATGCAGGTACTTGAATCATAACAATCTCACTGGAGCAATCCCTCAATCTCTTTCAAGCATTCCTAACTTAACTAGCTTGTGAGTTTTTAACCTTGTTGGACATACCATCACGATGGAAATCATTTAATGCATTTGTACTATTTGCAAACCTAAAATGTGCCATTGTTTACTTGACTGAATTGAGATGTTCTTGCAGACAGCTTGATTCAAATGGTCTTGCTGGACAGATACCTGAACGCTTATTTGAAGTACCTGAATACAAGTACACCAACCTCTAATGTTTCCTTGGATATTTAATTAATTATTAAGATCTGCTTCTCAACATGCACTTAGCCTTGTCTTTTTCTATCCGCAGTGCTTATATTGAAAATTTTGTTTCGTCGTTCTAGTTTTACAGGTCCTTACCCCGCAATGGGCGGGAGCCGTTGAGGTACTGGGGTAATGTTGTTTGTTTTGTTTTTTTCCTAGTTTTACAGGTAACCATTTAAATTGTGGCTTCAACTTCATCCGTCTTTGTGAATCCAGAAGAGGTAATTGGAATCTCATTGCATTTATTTCTGACCAAACATATGAAAGTTGCTCTGGTAATCTTATGTGGGTAAACTGTAAGTCAAAATCATCATGATCCTTCTAGAAGAAACTAGGGAAGTATAAAAATAGGTGAATGTATGTGCTATGCTACTTGTAGATATATACCTTTCTTGTAAATACTTCAAGGATATACAAGGGGAAGTGTTCATTTATATGCAGTCTCTGTCCTCTGTGTGATGAACTTGCCTTATGTTGGCAGATAATTCAAGCAAATCAAAGACTGGAGTGGTTGTTGGTATTGTTGTTGGAGTTTTGGTTATTGTTCTTGCCTTAGTTTTGCTGCTATTTTGCATGAGGTTCCGATCAAAGGGTTACAAGCATGAGTTCTATAAAGATGTTATAGGTTTGTGTCAATTTTATGTACTCCATTGAATTTAAATTGTGGATTTTAGGCCTTAGGGCCGTATTTTTTTATGGACTTTAGGAAAGTGACATATAAGCATTAATGCATCATGTCATATAGGAGAATATTCTACTATTTCATAGACCTCAGGATCAATTGTAAACATAATCCCATGCCCTTAGAAAAGAGAAATTCCTTTCTCGTTCTTGAAAATTGTTTGGAATATTACCGTAAAACAAGCAGGATACGGAAAAAAATTTAAGTGTAAAAAAATCAACTAGGGAAAAAACCCACAGCCATTTCAGACTGATAGACTATACAAGATACATTGGTGAACAAAAGTTTACTCGGCCTAATGTTTCTATTCTTGTTGAAAATACACCACCGAAAGTAATAGGCTTTTAGCTTTATTTTCCCACCTTTTCCATAGCTCTCTTATATATTGATAATTATCATTTTGATATTTTGGGAGAATCCCAATGAATAATAGACCTCCATATGTTCAGGAGATGTTGATCAACAGATCGAGTTTGGTCAGTTAAGAAGATTTTTATGGACGGAATTGCAAGCTGCTACAAACAACTTTAGTGAGAAGAACCTTCTTGGACAGGGAGGCTTTGGGAAGGTGTACAAAGGAGTGCTCCCTGATAATACAAAGGTTGCTGTTAAACGGCTCACTGACTATGAGAGTCCTGATGTAGATGCTGCATTCTACCGTGAAGTTGAGATGATAAGTGTGGCCGTTCATCGGAATATCTTAAAGCTAATTGGCTTTTGCACCACTCTAACAGAGCGCTTTCTAGTATACCCTTTCATGCCCAATTTAAGTGTTGCCTATCGTTTACGAGGTACTACAAGTATTCTTAAAATAGCTAGAACTTTTTCATGGTGTTCATTAGTTATGCTCTCTATTAATAATCATTGGTATACTTTCCGTTTCATTCGTCAATGACAGAACCAATGTTATGTATACTAGTAATATTAAAATTGTTTTTTTGAACTCCTCTAAGAGCAATACAACATGCTTACATCATGCGTACTGCACGAATTTTGAAAGACTAAGAAAAAAAAGGTATTTTGGGTGCAATGGGAAAAAACATAAATTATATTGCCGATCTCTTTCTGACAATGGAATTGTCTATTTTGAGTGTCATTTTGTTTGATCTAATGAGCTGAGGATACAACTTCAGAACTTAAACCTGGGGAGGCTGTTCTGGACTGGCCTACGAGATGGCATGTGGCATTGGGCACTGCACGTGGACTTGAATACTTGCATGAACATTGTAATCCAAAAATTATTCACCGCGATGTTAAGGCTGCAAATGTATTGTTGGATGAAGATTTTGAAGCTGTTGTGGGTGATTTTGGGCTGGCAAAGCTCGTGGATGTTAAAAGGATGAATGTGACAACTCAAGTACGTGGCACAATGGGACACATAGCTCCAGAATACTTGTCTACTGGTAAGTCATCAGAGAAAACTGATGTTTTTGGCTATGGAGTCATGCTTCTAGAGCTTGTAACAGGTCAACGTGTGATTGACTTCTCTCGCCCTGATGAAGAAGACGTGTTATTGCTTGATCATGTAAGTCAATAATGCCATTCACCTCTCCAATTTTGCTCTAACATACCTGGCATGATGCATAGAGAAACGAAGGAAATAGGCAGTGGATGATGTTTATGTTCATAATAATTACTCCTTCCCTTCCATAATAAACTTTAATTTTTTTCTCCATCCAGAAAAACTTTATACTTCTCTTATTTCGATCACTTTTGTAAATTTTGTGAAGTCAAGTGATAAAGTACATATATCTTTCATCTTTTGAAGGTTAAGAAACTGGAAAAAGAGAGACGGCTACATGACATTGTAGACGGAAACCTAAACATGAACTACAACATGGAAGAGGTAAAGATGATCATTCAGGTGGCTCTACTTTGCACCCACGCATCGCCCGAAGAACGACCCGCAATGTCGGTAGTAGTGAAAATGTTAGAAGGAGAGGGGCTTGCAGAGAGGTGGGAAGAGTGGCAGCATAGTGAAGTGACACGCGGACAGGACTACGAGCGGATACAGAGACGATTCATGTGGGGCCCAGATTCATCCTTTAAACAGAGTGCTATTGAGTTGTCTGGTGCAAGATGATAATGTTGCTGGTTTTGTGTTTTTTTGTGGTATTGGAAAATGGATTTGCTCATAAATTTGTATACTTTCTGGTAACTAAACTGTTTGGTCGATTCTGTCATCTGTGGAGGACATCCTCATTTTCTTGTGTATATGAAAATCTTTTGCTCAGCTTGATAACTAAAATGTCTCCTTGCTAAGGTATAAGCTATAAATGACTTCTGCAATTCATTCTCCTCGATGAAGTTAATGGAAAATGACTTTCCAATGCAAAGGAAAATCACTTGGCGAATGCGGAGTATGAAAGTTTCTTTCCATTTTCCTGAATTTCTTCGCATATTAAGGCCAATTAAAGGGAAGGAAGAACACAACAAACCTGGCCTTGAATAGGGTGTGATAGAATTTAGGATTGGGTAGAGATAATTGGATTAAACTATAAGACATTTGGGCTGAACAACATTAAAAGTTGAATCCAATCGATTACTTACTCCAACTCAAGAGCATCTATACCCATTATTTTCCACACACATTTTCGATGTGTGATACTCTTTAACGCTCTCCCTCAAGTGGACGACTAGATCATTTTAAATCTAACTGGTTGATCACTTGCAAATCGACTCTCATCCCTTTCTTTTTTTTAGTGCCAACACCTAAAGGACCACGAGCCGCTGGATATGGACTTTCAGACGAGCAATTGTGTTAAACAGGCCACAGACCGTTGGGTACATACTCCATACGGACAACTGGGCTAAAGACAAACGGGCGCTAGGAATGAACGTCTAGACGAACAGCTTGACAAATGAGGTGGCCAAAACCTATCTCTGATATCATGATATAATTTAGGATTGGGTAGAGATAACTGGTTTGGGCTATAAGACACTTGGGTTGAACCACATTAAAAGATTGAATCCAATCGATTACTTAGTTATACTCAAGAGCTTATATACCCCTTATTTTCATCACATTTTTTTTTGATGTGGGATAATCTTTAACAGGGTGCATGTTAATCAAGCTCGAGAGTAAGTTTTTTACAGGGGAAAAAAATTAAAGTAGAACAAACTTATTGAAAACATATCAAAATAGGAGCTCTATATTTTTATTCCCGAAATAGGAGTTAAAATGTATTTACATTACCAATCATGAGCATGTACATTACTAAAAAGTATAATAAAATCCTCATGTACAGTGCTACATTACCATAGTGTGAGCTCATATTTAGAAAAAAACATGGAACTTATATTTAGGTACTCTCTCTATATTTTACTCCTATTTAGAGTATTTCTTTATTTATGAACATTTAGAAAAATAACTTCCTTTTATGTAAAATCATTTCACATCACGGGCCCCAGTACCCAACACGCACGCAGAATAACGGAATTGGGCTTAAATTTTAAGGTACGGGCCGAGCTCGAGCCAAAAACGTTGGTCCGTGTACTTTAGGGCATGGCTCAGGCTTTATGCTCAAGCCCGCGGACTTGCCCGGCCAGAATGAATAATAATATTTATTGTTACCTTCGTCCCTGAGTATTTGTCCAATTTTAACTTTTTTCGATCAACTATTTTCAACTTTAGACTTAAAATTAAATAAAATATATATTTTATATTTACTTGATAAAATAATATTATGAAAATATTTGATATAATAAATCTAATTTGTATCAATATCTAATATCATTTTTATTTAATTTGAAGTCAAAGTTTATCAATTTTGGCTGAAAAAATTAAAAGTGGAGAAATACTCAAGGATGGAGGGAGTATTACTATAATTATAGTAAAAACAATATTAACAACAACATTAATATAAATAATAATAAAAAGAATAATACTATTTCTAATTATTATAAACACACAAAGATACTTGAATGAAGAAAAAGAATGAATTATGAGTGTATTTAATAAAATGAATACATCTTTATTACTCCGCATCACACATTGATAATGAAATTCAATTAAATAATAATAAAATAATCGAATAAAAATACATTTTATATATTAGTTTTTCTTTGATTTACTGATTTTAGTCATTATATCAAACATCTACTAATTTTTAATGCATTACATTATTTTAGAAATTATTTTTTAATTATTAAGTTGTTGTCCATGCAGACCGGGCCTGTCCAAATCCCGTGGGTACCCATACGGGCAGGGCTCGAGCTTCAATTGTTAGGCCCGCTATACCTGTTGGGCCAGGTTCGGGCCTAGATAATTCTCATATTGTTGCATCTCGGCCCGACACGTCCTGCACTTTAATTGGGTCTAACTGCCACCTTAACACCAAATAAGAAAAATTAAACCTACCGGTAAATATGACAAGTTTAGGACCACGAGCGGCTAGATATGGATTTCAAGATGAGCAATTGGGTTAAGCGAGTCACAGACCATTGGATTTATATTCTACACGGACAATTGAACTAAAGAATATGGTCGCTAGAATGAACGTCTAGACGAACACCTTAACAAACAAAGTGGCCTAAAACTTACTCTGATACCATGATAAAGTTTTGGATAGAGTAAGGGTTATTGGATTGCGCAATAACAGATTTGGACTAAACTACATTAAAAATTTGAATACAACAAATTACTTAGTTCAACTCAAGAGCTTATATACCGAGTATTTTTCTTCTCACTTTTTCAATGTGGGATACACTCTTACACGGACGATCACGTGAGAGAAGATAAATTGAGTTAGAGAAAAGTGCATTGTTTACTCCTGAACTTTTCGGAAATTACACGGTTTACCCCTGAACTTTATAAAGTGCACCGTTTACACCCGAATTCTTTAGAAATTGCACGATCTACCTCTGAATATTAAAAAGTACACCAAATACCCCCTGAAATGTTTAAATGTTGCACACTTGCATTATTTCGAGTACATGGTACTTGGCCAGATAATATGCAATCCATCCAAGTTGTTCCAGTATATAGAGAAGATGGTATTGCATAATTTTTCATGGTCAATCACAATGTGAATTACACAGTTTCTTAATTGAATGAGGCGCACAACATACAGGACTGTACTATAGCGTAGATCTAAGTCAAGCTTCGCCATCAGAGAAGCTTCAAATTATCTCCTAGTCAAAGCCTTCTTCTCGCGGCAGTTGGAACTCGACGATGATGATGCCATGGTCGAAGATCCTCGATCGATGAACAACAACAACAACTAGGGCTTGATTAAATAAAAAAAGATAATTTTGGGGAGGGAGAAAAACTAAAATAGCACTCTTAGAGCATTAAAATACTCTAAATAGCAATCCTATATGTTTTGTACCTGTAATTTCGATTTTGTCCTTTAATTAAACAACAAATGTTCATTATTCACTGCCAAAAAATATGATTATTTTGGGCAGTGTGGTTGTTCACTCGTAATTTTGTAGTGGGCAGTGTGGTTTTTTATATGTGAGTTTTTAATGTGGCAGTGTAGAATGGATATATGTTGTTATATCTTACGGCAGTGTGTAAATGTATTATTGTGTTCTTTAATTTCATGTTGTAGTGTAATGTCCATTGATTTATGTGGCAGTGATTTCATGTATTAATTCTACACTGTCAAAAAATGTATGACTATTTTCATGTATGAATTCCACACTTCCCAAAAATGTATAGCTCTTTTTATGTATGAATTCCACACTATTTTCATGTATGAATTCCACACTGCCAAAAATGTATATGATTGTTTTCATTTATGAATTCCACACTGCCCAAAAATGTATGACTGATTTCATGAATAATCTATTACACCAAAACACACTAGCCAAACATGGGCTTGGCTTTTTTTGGTCTTTCTTGATTTTGTATAATGTTAGAAGATGTTAGTATTAGACATATGCTGAATTTCATTTTTGTGGTACTGAAAAGAAATAGATAATGAAGGTATGTTGTAAATTTTAAGACTTAACACACTTCGGACACAACATAGCACACTGGCCAAAACATAGGACATAACACACTGCCAAAAAGTATACCTAGATCACAAGCATTCCACACTGCCAAAAATCTTTGAGCTTACACTTCATACTTTGTTTATTAAAGTTATTCAAGAACTAGTCATTTTGGTGATTTTTTTGTGTTTGCTTCCAATGGAACTCAATGAATAATTTATTACATTGGGATTTTTAGATATAAATCCTATTCGACCAAAACACACTAGGCAAACATGGTCATAGGACATTTCCAAAAAGTGTAGCTAGAAGTTGATTATTCCACACTGTCAAAAAAATATCAGCCCATATTCAGTAACACGTTTCCATAACGAACTCTTGAATGTTCAAACCCAATAGTCATAGAACGAAGCACATGGCTTTTGCACAATATGAAATTCAATTCATAATTCATAACATTGGCAGTTTTATATGTATATCTAATTTCACTGCCATATTATTAATGGAAGTTAATGAAGTACATACAAATTTATTTAGGTCCCTAACTTTTATACATTACCATATTTTCACTCTTGTTTGCCACATTATATATAGAAGACAAATTCACTGCCAAAAAATGTTTGCATAACATGATCAATTTGTATTTGCCCATATATTTATAGCCACATATTGAGTAACACATTTCATAATAATCTCTTTCATGGTAAAACCCTATTGTCATAAAATCAACCACAAGCTGTTTGCACAATATGAAAGTCAAATAATAATTTATAACATTGGTAGTTTTATATGTAAGTCACATTGTCACCACTTGTTTATAAAATTTTTATGTAGTTTTTTTAATATATAATTCCTATTTTTTAATTATACAATAATTTTTACTTATATTGATTTGAAAATAACTTCAATCAAACATCGTAAATCGAATAAGAGCCCTATTTTGGGATGAAGGAAGTATTTATAATTGGCATATTTTTATGATATAATTTTGATATATCATATTTTTATTATACTCCGTATATATTTATTCAAAACTACATTTAATTGATTGACGAAAGAATTTGATAAAAAAGTATTGTGTCACTATGCACAAAGTATACATTATGTGAGTCCGAATTTGATATAGGAGTTGAAAGAGGAATTGAAACAATTGATAGTGGGATAGATAAAAGGGATTGACAACATAAAGGGTATGATTGGAAGAGATTGACAACATAAATAGCTAATTTGGTAAAAA